GGGGTCCCATGGATGGGAAAAATCAAGAAAGGATTTGAGCAGTATGTTTGGGAAGGAAAAGAGAAAAGGAGATAGCAGCTGAGATGATGTGGTGTGAGGGGACATTTATGCGTCTGGTTATACAGGCCTCAGATTTTACGGTGTGGCATCTAGTAAACGTGATATCGTACACTAAGAGGTTTTGTGCCCAGGCACACACTGGTTCTAATGCTTACTGAGGGGATAACCTTGGACAAGTCTGTAAGTGTCTCAGAGCCTCAGTTCTCTCATCTGTAAAAGGCAGAGAATAATATATATCTGAGAGTTATTTTTATGCTTAAATGAAATGACAGAAGTACATGCACCAGTGAATGCTGATTTCCCTTGCCCTCCTATGTTTGAGCAGAAAATAGATCTCTTGGCACAAAACAATAAGAGTATTTTCTCTTTATTCCCTTTTCCCATTTTAACCTTGACTTTTACAAAGAGATATGGCGATAGAATTTCAACATATAAAGAAATTTGAGAGGAAAAATCACACTGTATCATAGCAGAAGAATCTTCTAGAGATCATCTAGTCCAGCTCCTTCACATTTTAGGCCCAAAGGTAAAGAGACTTCTCAGTCACAGGCACGGTAAGACCAGGATGAGAAGGGCAGGATGGGGATGGGTGGGTCACTGGTCCTAGTTTGAGTCCTCAGTTCTGGTCCAGAGCCACCCCTAGTTTCAAATCTTCCCTGGCTCTAAAGTGAAATGCATGGATGAGTCTCAGCATCACTATTTGCTTTGGGCAATGTGACACAGGTCCTGCTACTTCACCTGTCTGAGCCTCAGCTGCCTCAAAAAACACACAGGATTATTGCAAGGATTGAATGAGATGATATATGTAAAAACACTTAGTAAAAACCTTGATGGAGTTCAGTAAAGGGTAGCTATTAAATTTTGATTTTCACAATGGAACAGACTAATAAATTGAAAGAATTGATAGCAGAAGAAAGAATTTATGTTAATTAAATGCTTCCTGTGAATAAGGGGCTGAGACAGGGACTCAAGCTTCTAGGCAGGCATCAGCATTCCTGCTCCCCTGAGCAGCTGACGAGACTGAGGCTCATCTCAGTACAATAACTTGGCTCAGGCACCCGCCAGACTCTAAAACACCACACTGCCACAGCTGCCAGAGATAGCCAGAATGAAGTCAGGCTACAGGGAGGCCTCCTAACCACCCCATCAGTGTAAACTGTGCATTTTCACTTTCAAAAAACGCAGAAAAAAAAAAAACCTGAACAAATGAGTAGCTAACCTGAATTAATATCAGACACCGAGTGTTCGGTAAACTTCCTGTTCTTCGGGGTTTTTATTCTCCCACAGAACAATTTCCAAAATGGGCAAAGAGCACAGTAGGTGGCTCTCTTTAATATTTTACTGGCAAGGTGACAGTGACTCACCAGATCCTACATCTGTGTCACCAGCAAAAGCCTGACAAAGTTGAGCAACAAATGAAACTATGTGTATGTTGGAGATAACCTTTATTTTTTCTGCTGCCTCCTCCTCTGATTTCCTCCAGGGACCTTCTGCTTTTCTAAGTGTGCCAGGTAAGATGACACTACCTACCTACCTTTTGGCAAAAGCAAACATATGCTTCCAAATGCCAAAAGCAAGGAGCAAAACGTTTCTGCCAGAACTGCATTTGCAAGCCTGTCTGCTTGCTGCAAAGCAGGGAAACCTGATGGCCTGTGGGGAGTCTCAGTGGATAAATGGCCCCAATGTCTGGGCACGAAGCAGACCTGTTCATTTTCCTACATAAGCCTGCAGCCATCAGTTTCCACAGGGAGGACTGAAACTCCAGACCAGTGATCGGCACCGCCAGCAAGTAGTGGTCTTTTCTGCAAATGCTGCCTCTGCACACTGCTCTCTATATTCCATCCTTTACTCGTGGAATTGGCGAAAGAAGCGAAAAATGTTATGGTCACTCACGGCTTTTGTTCCTCAATCTTCTTATCACCCTGCACAAGAATGGCAGAGGGAAGAAACTACTCAGAGCAGGAAGAAAAACATGACATAATTCTAAACTCTAGGTCTTCATGGTACCCTTCCTCCTGGGAATTGAAGGTGCATTACATCAACACATGAGAGTAGGAAGGCTGCCCTAGAGATCACCACTTTGAAATTTCCTCTCCTGAGAGTCAGCCCCACTAAGAGCGTGTTTAAAGATTGTTCCCTTAGCAAGGCAATATCCTCTTTGGGACAGAAAGGATACTTGCAATCACCAGCCAAAGAAGGTCAACCAAACAACTGAGTAAACGCTTAAAGATCCCATTGGAGGGGTGTGGAGGGGCGACAGGAAAAGTCCTCAACTAGAAGTCAGAAAGTGTGAACTGTATTCCCAGGGCTGAAACGTAACTAACCACGTGACCCTTGGGAACCTCTCGTTTCTCTGAGTTTCATTCAGTTTCCTTCTCAATAAATTGAGACCAGCTAAGAAGAGAGATCATTTAATGAGCACCTGCTCACTACACGGACTTCACATCATTCCACAGAATGTAATCCTCACAGAAATCCTTGGGGTAAGCACTTTTTCTGGTTTTTTGGCCATTTTAGAAGTGATTACAACAGAAGCCCTAAATGGTGAGATAAATTGCTTAGTATTACACAGCTACATAGGAATTACAGCTGGAATTTGAATTTGACCACAAAACCAGATTTTTCATACTTTATCATATCATTATATTATCCTTCAACCATTAATACGCCTGCCATGTCCTTTTCTCAGGGCTATTGTAAATAACTAGAGAGATAAGATATATATGGAATACACTTGGGAAATTTTAAAGTTCTATGTATATGTATGTATGGTTTTGGTAACTAATAATCTGGATAAGGAGGAAAGGTATAACTGGGTATCCTTTCTTTGAAGACTCAGAATCAAAAGGAGTCAGCTTTCAATCTCCCTTCCATCCCCTTGTTCTGACCTTATTTTGAACATTTTCCTCTTCCCCACAAGTCCCCAGTCTCTCAGGCACGCGTTCAGATGTATCCTGGCCAGCTCATCACAATGCATACACACGGAACAGGCTGATGAAAGTAAGTGATCCCATCCTTGGCAAATGCCTGGCGCCAGAGGTACCTAAGGGGGCACCCCCAAACTCTTCCCTTTTGTCAGGATGTAGCACATCCCCTCCCACATATTCATCAATGCCACATGCAAATGTGATGCTCTGTGATGCAGGCAGCCAACTATAAATGCTGGACATTCAATTCAGGGACTTACAGTATAGCCAGGAGATAAGAATAAATAATTGCATGAAGTCAATCAGAATAAAATCAATTGTCCTGAGCAAGCTGGGGGTATATGAAGGACATTATTTCATTTTAAAATACCAATAAAGGAAGCCCGGTGCGGGCACATGTGGCTGTTTGTGTTTAAATAAGGTAAGTTTGCATCCCGAAGGGACTGACTTTAGCAGCATCACTGCATAATCCAAAAGCATACACGAGAATTTTGTTGTTGTTTTCCTATAGTAGCTGAAAAGTATAAAGTTGCTTGTCTGACCTGAGGCAGCAGAAATAAAAGGCTCCAAATAGTCTGGAACATAGATGGAACTTCTAACATCTCTTGTCTTCCTCTCTCTCATCAAATTCAAGACCCTCTTTGCTAATAAAGGATGCCTCAGATCACAGCTTCACAGACCTGAGGCTCGGCCTAAAAACTAGTAGATATTGGCATGACTGAGAAACATTAATTTTATATTCCAAGTCAAGCATCTATGATTAAGTCACAGGTAGACGTTATTCAGAAAATACCATAAAAGAGCTGTTGAGATCCCAAAGAAGAAAACACCACAACATTCCAGGTGTTTTTTCAAAAAGTCACTGTAAGGTAACATGAAATCACCTTTCTGAAACCCACTGTCTCCGGGGTTCCTATATAACACTATTTACAATAGTTGCCATTAATCCCCAACTGGCCAGGTGCCGCTACCCCATGTCATTTGAATTATCCCATTTCAACCTCCGAACAACCCTAAGGGCTCCTTGTGACCGCTATAATCTCCATTTTGCAGCTGGAAAAAAAAACCGAGTATCAGTAAGACCGAATAACTTGCCCAAGTTCACAGAGCTAACACGCGGCAGAGCTGTAGTCGAAACCAGGGAAACCCTCCTCCTCCTCCGCCGGCAGCCAGGCGGAGGATCTGTGGAGCCGGGCAGCAAAACGCTTCACAATTTCACAACCAGGGAGGGTAGACAGGCTGGGATCTGGCTCTTAAAGGAAACGGCAAAAGTTTGCTTTTATGTTGATGGTTTTTCTCTTTAACTCAGCTTCCTTTTCCCTCCCAGTATTCAGAAGTGACAGGGGCTATGGCTCCGTTTAGTCAGCTATTCCTAAACGACGGACATCCTATCCCCCCCCCCCCCCCCCAGGACCACCAGTTCCGCTCCCTCCCTGGCTAGTGAGAGGACTGTGGTACCACACGAGGTCACCAGCGCCCAGGGTCCCTCACCTCTCCACCGAGTCCACCAGGAGCCTGACGGACACCCTCGGCAGGGGCATCTTTCTGAGAAAGCAGGTCAGGGGAGGAGGGAGCGAAGCTGCAAGCAGCCTTTACCCAGGCTGCCACAGCTCCAGGCTGCAAGCGACACGATATGGAATGGGCATGCTGGGACGCACTGCCCCCTTCTATCCTCGCTGCTCACGGCAGCGCTCTGGAGAAACCAAGGCTGGGGTACACCACAGTAGATCCCTTAAAGGGCGGGGAGTTGGGAGCAGCGACGCGCTGCCGTCCCACTACTGCGTTACTTCCATCCCTACAAAGCAAAGATGGGGCTCCGGACAGTTGGGTTCGAGTCCTGGCCACAGGACTAATCAGCTGTGTGATCTACCCCAGCCGCTGCCTTCCTCTGTGCCTCAGTTTGCCCTTGTGGAAAATAAGAGGGTTGAACAAGACGATCTCTAAGAATCCTTGGACCCGGAGATTCTGTGGATCTGTGATTCCTCCGAGCCCTAATGGCAGCGCGAGACTCACCTTTCCTGGTAAGCAGCAGAGCCGGCGCAGTGAAAGCGGCGGGATGGGTGCAGAGTAGCCCAGCACAGCTTCTTTCCTTGCGTCTGGCCAAAGCGGAGCCCTGGGGTCCCCGATCCGGCCAGCCTTCCCCCAATGAGCCTCTTACTTTCCGCCGCACTTTCTTTTTCCCCCCTTGGGGCTCCTCCCCCGGCGCGGCGCGATTGGTCGCGCCGCGCGGCCACTGCTCCACCCGCCGCCTTGGCTCGCCCTCCTCCCGCCCGCGCTCTGGGCTTCCCGGAGCGGCGGCCGCGGGGCGGCACCGAGGGCAGCTCCACCCGCGGCGAGGAGGAGCCGCGCGGGGCCAGCCTGCCGGCCGACGCAAGGCTGCGCTCTGCCCCTTCGCCTGCCTCCACCCGGGCCGCCTTGAGCGCGCAAGAAAAGGACAGTGCCGGTCCTGCAGCTTGGCACGCTGCCCGGCGCTCTAGGAAGCTACGCGCCGCACTACACAACAGAGATGCAGCCGTGCGCCCATTGCAGGATTCTGGTCTCACAGTCAAGGTCAATGCCACCCTGCCTTTTCTTCTGGCTCTGTATATTTAGCTATCGTGCTGCCCCAAGGCCGTGAATCAATTCAGGCTACAGGATTTGTGCGCCCACCTTGTGCGAAGCACAGAGAGCGACAGGAAGAAACTCAATCACGGAGGTCCGGAGCTCTCGCTCCGCTGTAAGTGACAGTCATAGAAAGAAACAACTGGTCATGACGGCAGGACTGAATGTGTATTTTCCACTGGTGCCTGGCACAAAGTAGGCACGCAGTATGTGTATACTGAATGAGTGAATGAATGAATGAAGTTATAGAGGGAAACAGTCTCCAAAGAATTATTCCCTTTCATTCATTCCCATTTCTCCAGGTTTCTGCAAGACCCCCCAGTTACCTTCTCCCTCTCTAGATTACAGTCTGTATAATTATCCTGAAAAGCTTTACAATGACTTTCATTAAGTCAACTCCTTTGTTCAAGAACCTTCTGTTTTTCCCTATTGGTAGTTCGTCACGATTTCCTCCTGATCGGCAAGTCCCTTCATCACTTGTCCCCGTTTCTGAGATTCGCTAACAAGGGTACTAAGGTACTAAAGGTACTAAATTGACTCGTCTTTTCACACATGCCTTGCCCACAGCCATCTTCTTGACTTTTCTTCCGCTCTTAGAGTTATCTAATTGTCTTATTTATTCAAGAAATAGAGATCCAGAGAAAGCAATTAAGGAGAAGGAGAAGAAAGATGTGAATGAACTAAAGGGCTTCAGTGAACTAGCGGTTGGAACTGGCAGGTGGCGATTTCTGCACACCTACTGAAGGTGGACAGCAGCGCAAAACTCAGACGCCGCCCCTGCCTCGGGGAGCTTAACTCCTGATGGCAAAATCACAGTATAATCAAAGCTGGAGAAATGTTCGTGTTACTTCGTTTATTGATACTCCTTATGAAAATTAATCCTGAGAAATTATCCACCTCTGGTTACCAGGCGCATAGTACGTGATACAATATTTTTACTGAACCAAAAATGAAATAATTCAAAAGAAGAAGTTACCTTTATGAAGCAAAAATAGAACTGTTCTTTGATTCATTATTCATTCATTAAACATATTCAGGGCATCGAGTTTTTTTCTTATATAATACACTTACCAAACACTTGTATAATATGTGCTTATGCTGTAGCAGGCACTTTGCATATATTTGCTCATTTAATTCTCACAATAATCTATAAGGTACTATCATTATCTCCTAATTATAGATGAGACATAGAGAAGTTGTATCATGCCCAAGGCCACCAGCCTACAAGGGGAAATGCAAAATGAGACCCAAGGCTGTCTGTCTTCTTGCTCCAAGCACCCCACGATACAGTCTCATTTGCTTCCTAGAAGTCATGACTCCCTAAGAGGCACAAGCCAGAGATTCAGAAGTGAACCAGATATAGTCCTGGACTTTGAGGGGCCACTCGTAGCTTAATGAGGATGACAGGCATACAGACAAATAATCATAGTATTGTACATTATAATTAGAAGACAACATAAGTGGTTGGGAATGAAAATGATTAGATTAGATAACAATGATTACATATATATGCTGTATAGTCATACAACAAAATATCTGCTGTCAGAATTAACATTTGAAAATACGTCTACAAAGGAAAAGGCTTACACAATATAATTAACAAGATTGTGTAAAAGTTATGGAAACACGTGGACAGTAATTGAAAGGAATGTAGAAAACGTTAATGTGTTAGGACTATGGGAGTGTCCTACTTTTCCTTTTTAAATTTGCTTTAACGTCAAAACGTTATTGCTAACAATTAAGAAAAAATGTTTTAAAGCTCACATACTAGTCATTCAGTGAACCGTGGTCCCCTAAATGAATGAGTGAATGAGGCTACAAACTCATTGGTGTCAGTGCCTAACAGTGTTGGGTACGCAGGAAACACTCCATAAAATATTTTGAAATTGATGGAAGTATCTGGAAAAGTATTATTACTCTTTTCTTCCCTCTGCTACTATCCACCAACCTCTTTTTTCAGGTTGTCTTTAATCATTTTGCCATAACTCAGAATTTTGCTGGTCCCTAAACACAATCCAGTCAGACTTTTGTCCCTAACACTCTGTAGTTAAGTTACATAATGACCTTTTCTTTGCCAAATTCATAGGTCAATTCTCTGTCTTCATCTTACTTGACCTAGTAGCAGCATTAGACACATTTGATCAGTTTCTCCTTCAAATTTCTTCTTACCTGACTCCTTGTTTTCCATTAATTCATCCGCTGCTCCTTTCCAGACTTTTTGGTTGAATCCTTTATTTCTTCATGATCTCTGAGGGCTGGAATCTCCCAGAGTTCCAATCTTGGCATGCTTATATTCCCACCGTAGGGGTTCTCATCCGGACGCCCAGACATGTAGCTTTCTCAAGCACCTGTATGATAATGACCTTTAAATCTACAGTCCGAACCCCAGACTCTATGTACCCTATTACTTCCTTCATATCTCGTCTTAGATGTTTCATATATATTTCAAACTTTGCTTATTCAAAAAAAGACTTTTTATTTCTACCCCTCGCCAAATCACCTCCTCCTCCAGTTTTTCCAGCTTTGTAAGAAACATGATCTTTTACCCAGTTGCTCAGGCCAAAAAGCTGGATTCATCATTGATGCCTCTTTCTCTCATAGTTCATATGCAGTCCATCAGCCAATCTTTTGTTTCTCTACATTCAAAGCACATCTCAAATCTAACCACTATTTCTCTCCTCCAGCACAGCCACCACAGTCCAAGTCACTGTCCTCTCTCCTCTCACTGGTCTCGCTGCTTAAACTCTTGCCTCCAGAGTCTTTCCTCACTCTTCAGAGTGATCCTTATAAATGCAAATCAGAATAAATACAGGCTAGTGGTTGAGGGCAAGGACCTTGGAGCCAGACTGCCTGGGGTCAAGTTAAATTCTGTAACATATGAACAGAACAAACTCAAGTTACTTCACTTCTTTGTGCTTAAGTTTTCATCATCTGTAAAATAGAATAATAATAATACTACATACATCATAAGGTTGTTGTGAAATTAAATGAGTTAATATAAGTAAAACACTTGGAACAGAGACTGGTGCATATGAACTGCTATATAAATATTAGTTATTATTTTTACTAATAATAAGATGTCATGCTCTGCTCTCAAATATTCAATGATTTCTCATCATGATTAGAAAAATTTCCAGAGTCCGCACCATGGCCTATAAGGCCCTACATGATCTGTCACTGAGTCACTTCTTCAAATCTCTCACTGTATGCTCTTCACTGTTGCCCAAACACATAACGTGTTCCCATGCTGGGCCCATTGCACTGGCTGTTCCCTCTGTCTGAAATGCTCTTCCCCCATGGTTTGCTCCCTCACTTCATTCATATCTTCATGCACGTCCCTGCTCCACTGTCATCTTCTCATTGAAACCTTTCCTGACAACCATATCAAATTCTACTCCTTTTATTCTCTATCTTAATTATGTTACATTTTAATTTATTTGTTTATTGACTGTCTTCTTCATTGGAATGTAAGCTCCAGAAGGGGGATATGATGTTTTCCCAGCAAATCAGCAGTACTTTGCACATAATATTCATTTCATAAACATTTGTTGAACTATGAATCCAGTCCAAAACTCTCATGGTTAAACTGAGACCCAAAGATATTATGTGACTAATTTCTTGCCCCTCTCTTTGATTTACATTTTTGCAAGGCCGAAATAATTGGAAAAGAAGACATGAAACAATAAATAGCTTTTCTTGGCTGGGAGCAGGGTAAAGGAAGTACAGTACAGAGACATTTTACTTTAAGTTTTTGGAAGGAAGGTGAAGAGCAGGATTGAGCCAAAAGGAGAAAAAGTAATTATGTCACCTTCCATAGCCTTTTATGTTCCCACCCTTTATACTTCTCAGGCCTTTTTTCTTCCGTCCCCAGCCAACCCCCACAGCTGTTCTCTGGCTGTCCATAGCCCCTTGGAGTACTCAGTGATGCCTTTCTCCACTCCCACTGGAGTGCCCTTGTTTCCAAGTTATTTCTCCCTCGTCCTCTTTATTGCCTCTGTCACTGATAAAACCCTCCCTCCCTCAGTTTGGTTCACTAGGTATGGGAATACAAGGAGACTGAACAAAGTCATGTTAAGGTGGAGATTACTAAGAGCTCAGCTCCATCTTTCAGAGGTATATACTCATGTACCCAGACACATATATCTAACTATTGAAATCCCAGTAGTTTGGAGGAGGAAATTTGGTTATAGAGTGGGAGGCTTTCTTCATTCACTTCGCTCAGCCTAGCAGGCTATGTTATGTGCAGTTCAGGAAGAAGAGAGGTGAAAGGGGGAACTCCTGGATCCCATCCAGAGCTCTCTTTGCATAGGGATGGACGTGAGCCCCATGAAGGAGAGTTTCTCCCACATGAAGGTGTCAAAGATAAACATAACCTGACATTAGTTAAAGTAATGGAAACAGATTTTATTCAGTAACTACTGACAGTAGATGAAAGAGCTGAGCTCCATTCCGATGTGTGCAGAGGAAATTTGGGTGTTTTAAAAGGAGAATGAGGGAGGGGGTAGCATAGGGTCTCAGTAGAGTCAGAGAAGTGAAAAATTACAAGGAATTGGTCAATATAAATATGATTAGGCCAGCTGGATCTGCTGGGTGGCAGTTATTGAAGTTAGGATTCTGTCCTCCCACAGAGCCTGGAAACAGAGGCCCTATCCTTCCTGATGATTACATTTCAAAGGAGTGGCTCTCAGGTCCTTGAGAAAGACATTTCTGAGTTATAAGAGATAAGTATTCAC